TGGTTGCCAGCCAATCACAGAGCACACAGAGACAAATAGCCATCCGCTCTCACATTCACACCGAGGGAAGACAAAACTATTGGACAAAAAATAACAATTGGGGAAACGTGGGACAAGTCAAATACAAAAATGAAAAAGAAAAATCTAAATATGAAAGAAATATTAGATGAAAAATACACAGGCATTAGAAAGTGTTTCCCGAAGTAAGAGGCAAATTTGTAAAATATTAGACAAAAATCCTAAAGCAAGTAAAGTATTAGAAAAAAAAACATTAATTTTTTTTTCAATGATTTAAACAATAAAATTCGTGTTTGGTGTGAATTGTATTCAACAACTTGAAGCTTTTTTTTTTTTTTTTTTAAACAGTCGGTTCACTCTTATTTCAAGGTAACACGGTATGACCGCAAATTACTACGCAGACATAGAAATAGGACCGAAGAAACACCCAAGTCAGCATGAAAAACACATAAATCTCATAGCGCCATAACATACGCATCTTCTTCACTTCCTCTAATACTCTCAAAGAGGAAAGGTTAGAAAAGTTCTTTGAAAATGTAATATCTCACTGTCTGAAAAGTTCTAGTATGCATGTGTTTACCGCGCACCGCCCCCCACAACACACACACACACACACACACACACACACACACACACACACACACACACATATTAACACAAACCTCCCATCTGGTTTCCCAACCAACAACAATGTTGTGATGGACACTCCGGAACCTTGCAAGTTGGCTGTCTCTCGTCATTGTTTTAGCACAGCGAGAACATTGGCACCATTTACTATTCTATTTTTTTTCCATCTATGGCCACTTTGCTGCACACAAACATTGGGACCTGTGAGATCAGCGGAGGGACGGATCCAGAAATGTTTCAGTGGGGTGGCCACGGTGACGCAATTAAGGGGAGGCAGTCAGATGACGTAGGTATGCGCACACAAATCTTGATTCCACGGCTTGAAAGCATTTAAAAAAAAAAAAAAAAAAAACAACCTAAAATAACGACTTATGAAGCAAATTAATGTAGTAATGAAACAAGAATTCTTTTCGGAAATTATCTGCAAAACCAAAAAAAGAGTGGAACATTGTGGTTATAAAACAATTAGTCTATAGTCTCTTTTCTCCCTCGAGTGCAGATTTATTTAATAATAATAATAATATCCAGCCATCCATCCGTTATCTGAGCCACTTATCCTCAGGAGGGTTGCGGGCGTGCTGGAGCCCATTCCTGCAGTAGGCAAGGGGACACCCTGTACTGGTTGCCAGCCAATCACAGAGCACACAGAGACAAATAGCCATCCGCTCTCACATTCACACCGAGGGAAGACAAAACTATTGGACAAAAAATAACAATTGGGGAAACGTGGGACAAGTCAAATACAAAAATGAAAAAGAAAAATCTAAATATGAAAGAAATATTAGATGAAAAATACACAGGCATTAGAAAGTGTTTCCCGAAGTAAGAGGCAAATTTGTAAAATATTAGACAAAAATCCTAAAGCAAGTAAAGTATTAGAAAAAAAAACATTAATTTTTTTTTCAATGATTTAAACAATAAAATTCGTGTTTGGTGTGAATTGTATTCAACAACTTGAAGCTTTTTTTTTTTTTTTTTTAAACAGTCGGTTCACTCTTATTTCAAGGTAACACGGTATGACCGCAAATTACTACGCAGACATAGAAATAGGACCGAAGAAACACCCAAGTCAGCATGAAAAACACATAAATCTCATAGCGCCATAACATACGCATCTTCTTCACTTCCTCTAATACTCTCAAAGAGGAAAGGTTAGAAAAGTTCTTTGAAAATGTAATATCTCACTGTCTGAAAAGTTCTAGTATGCATGTGTTTACCGCGCACCGCCCCCCACAACACACACACACACACACACACACACACATACAGATTGAAAGAGAAACTGAGATGGCATCAGTTTCCCTTGAGGAGGTTGCAGTGCTGTCCTCTCTTCTGTGACGGGAGAGGTTAACTGTCCAAAACTGAGCAGTTCACTGAGAGGTCCTGCTCTTGCGAAGCTTTCGTCTGTGTGTGTGTGTGTGTGTGTGTGTGTGTATAAATCACTCTGGAGCGATAAAGCGCTGATATATGACGCGGCCAGAGAGGGAGAGTGTGAATGAGCAGGACGAGGGGAGTAATGTAGAGGAACAGTCTCATGAGGGTCATTTCGTTTAAGGGGGGTGGGGGTGGGGGGTCGTGGGAGGTTCTGGTTAAGGCATGGGGGGGGCTGTCGGTGTGAATGAGATTTCAATCTGTTGGAAGCATGGGAAAAAATGGCAAAGGGAACGGGAGTAACATGTGGCGCACTGAAAAAAAAACAGTTCATGTGGTGACTGGAAATTAGCATTAGGTAAAGCCAATTAGCACTACGACCTCAGTGTGCCTCTTTATTGAAGCAAGCAGTTGGTTTTAGCTTTAGCCTGCTAATATGACAAGACAACAGGTATATTTTATTGTGTTATTGATTAAAAAATTATAATCTAAATATACAAGGCAAAATACCATCCATCTGTCATCCATCCATTTCCTGATCCGCTTCTTCTCACAAGGTTTGCCGGGCACGCTGGAGCCTATCAGAGCTGTCTTCTGGCAGTAGGCGGGGTACACTCTGAACTACTTGCCAGCTAATCGCAGGGCACACATAGACAAACAAGCATTCAAAGTTACAGGCAAACCGAGGGACAATTTCGAGTGTTCCATCAACATACCATGCATGTTTTTGGAACATGGGAGAAAAACGGAATACCCAGAGAAAACCCACGATGGCACGGGGAGAACATGCAAACTACACACAGGAAGGGCGAAGCCGGAATCAAACCCTGCACCTTAGCACTGTGAGGCCAAATTAGGTTTCTGTGTACTGCCTAAGAAGCTGTACTTCGAACCGGCAACCCTTTGGTCACTGTGCGACCCGGCCTACCAACTGAGCCACAGCCACCCTGCCGAGGAAATACTCTCCATTGGGATAAAATGAAAGCAAGTGACATACAACTGCTCAATACGTCATATTGTTACACACACCCAAACTCCCAGACTGAACTATTTTAGAGAGCAGTGAGAGTTTGGTGACGAGCATTCAAGCAATCTCGGTTGCTTTTTTTAGTCGGCATATTTGTCAGCGTGTTCGGCCATTGTTGGAGTCATGAGAAGACACCATCCAGCCTCCCCTGCTTCCTTCTCCTTCTCTTCCTGTCCTTTGCCCCTCTGCTGTATTTCATCTGTCTTTTTCTTTTTTTTCCAAACTCACACTCTCACTCCCTAAAATTCCACCATCATTTGGTCAGTTCTCTTTGATTTTTTTTTCTTTTTTTTTTCTTTTTGTTCAAAGCAGCTCGAAGCGATTGTCTCCAGGCTCCCCCTACAGTTAAGTACAAATGAGCTACTGACTATTAGAGTGGGGTAACTCGATTTTTCGTCATTTTGCAGGAGAGTGAGTTAAAAATTTTACAGCTGCAATAAAACCTCGGGCAATTAAATCTTGGTGATTTATATGGCAATGATTTCTTCTGGAGGCTTATTTGGACGAAAATTGTGGTTTTCCTCATATTTGCGCACTATTAGAAATATGTGGATTTTGGATTTGGGTCATATTGCTTCCACTTTTATCCACTACTTACTTTAAGTACTGTTAATCGTCTTCAGTTTCTTGGGTTGGATCCTGGTCAGAATCATCAAGGTTGCCTGACGACAGCAGCCATTACATATACACAACCAGTGGACATAAAAATTTTGCAAATGTCAGTTTTTTTGTGGTGGAAAAAAAAAACACAAGTCCACAAAAGACTGACTTTAAATTTGAAGTGAATCAATTTGCCTGGAACAGAAAAAAAAAATAATGAGAAAGTCTCTGCCACCGACTGTAGTGGATATGCAGTTACATTTTATTCTTGTATGGTTAAAAAGAAAAAAAGGAAAAAGATAAAACACTTTTTGTCTGGAAATTAATCAGTTACAGAAGTGACGGTGAAGTGCTTTAGAAGTCAAAAGTACATTGTTTATAATATATTAAATATTTAAAATATCAGTTATATATTTGCATTTGTTTCTACCATTTTGGATTTTACAATGCAGAGTTTTGAGAGCTACACAATGATAGTTCACAAAATAACATTATTATTATTATTATTATTATTATTATTATTATTATTATTATACTGCAAAGGTACTCTATTTATTTTATTTGTTAAATGTACTTCATTACTTCCATGCTTACATGAAAATGGTAAATTTGAATGAAAAAAAGCAGAGAGAATAAATCTGATTCTATCTACCTCTTTTAACAGGAAATATTTACTTTTCACATTTAAATAATGTGATACTTTCATTTTATCTATATCTATATCTTTATATTTTTTTACACATATTAAGTTTATATCACGACTGGTACCATTACTGTGAAGGGATTAAATGTAAACTGTGATATGAGTTTTAGGCCATATCGCTCAGTCCTCAGTTTCCATTTGAAGCAAAAATATGTCAAACAATATTCCACATGATCAAACATTTACTGTATATACAGTGAACATGTAAATTAGTGATAAAAATTAAAAGATTTTGAAAAAAAAACAAAATATAGGTTGTACACAGAATAACCCTTTATTTCATGTGTATTTATGTGTATATTGCTTTGTTGAACCAGTTTCAAATTCCTGAAAAGGACTTCCTCCCTAACACCGCCTCTTTAGTGTCCTTACATTATTAGTTTTTCATGTTTTGATGGCATGATGTAAATTTCTGTCACATTTGTAAATGTTCATGTATATACTGCTTTTTGCTCTGAAGATAGATATGGAGGAAAAAAAAATAGTGGCCCGAACACAAATATTGACAGGCATATACAATAAAAAATAAATAAATACAATAAAAATCAGCTATTATGCTACACGAGCACAATGAAACATAACCAAAAGTTTTTATTATGGCCATCAATCATAAGTACTAATTGCGCTGAATATCATTGATGTTTAACGTCCCAGGTCCCCCCAGAGTGTCAGAGCACGTGTCCCACCGGCAGAGCGTTCGCCTAGGCCGCACGGTCAAGCTGCCGTGCCCCGTGGAAGGCGACCCGCCACCGCTCATCATGTGGACCAAAGGCGGCCGCAACATTCACAGCGGCTGGACGCGATTCCGGGCGCTGCAGCACGCTCTGCGCATCAAAGAGGTGGAGGCGGACGACGGCGGCGCCTACGTCTGCAAGGCCACCAACGGATTCGGCAGCGTCAGCGTCAACTACACGCTCATCATCATCGGTGAGTGGAAGCGAACATGGAGATTGGGATGTGTTTATGGAATGGTTTTGAAAAATCATTTTAATTCCTGTGGCATTTCGGGTTACACAGGCTAGTTAATGAGGTTGAACTGGCATTTGAATTATGAGGGAGGGGGGGGGGGGGTCCTTGGAAAAATGTGTCCCCCATAAAGGGGCGCCTGGAAGATTATGAACCCCCGTTGTAGACAACAATGACAAGACTTTGGGTTCAACTTGTGTGGTTGTGTTGGCGGGACATTTGTGTTGCATCATGTGGTGTTGTGGGCGCATCCCAGTGGTGATGTCACCATCGAGCAGACGTCGTGTCTCGCGCCTCTAATCACAGTGTCTGAGACAGCACGCACACAAACAACCACTGTACGGCGGATATAGAAAGTATTCACACCCTTGTTCAAATGCCCTGTTTTTGTCATTTCAACTCATTTTACCTTGAAGCTTACCTTCCACGCGAATGTAATTGTGGCTGACGGTAAACGGGGGTCAGCACACGCCAGCCAGCAACCATTGAAGTGATCTGATTAACCCAAAAATCAAGTTCAGCTCTTCTAGTAGGCAATGCCACTGTGATTGGTTAATTTTGAATGTGACCAAATCCCCAGAAGAGGGTGTGAACATCTGTGCAAACATATTATTTTATTTGCTTATTTTTACATCCCCTCTCTATCAGATTTTTTTTCTTTGTTAGTTCTCAACAGCGTTATACATGTCACAGCTCACATTAAGGGTGGAATGATTTATCGCCGTTTCATTTTTTTTTACTTATCACAAAAACCTTCCATTAGAACAGGGGTGCACAGACTTTTTATATCCACGGGTTGTGTAATGCCAGTATTTCCAAACCTCTATTAAGCCAGGGCACACCTTTTTAAATGGATAAAAACAAAAACATTCATGGCTCTGCATATAGCTACACTTTGCTGGCATAGATAAGTAACGTACTGTACATTACGGAGTACATGCTAATTTACTGAACGATTCATTGAAGTTGGATATACAAGTTGGTTAGGAATCACTGATGTAAATGACGTACCGTAGCTGCAAATGGTGCGGCGCGTTCACACATGCTGTCCTGTCAGCTTTGTGTGAGTGCATGTTTGGAGGGGAAGGGTCAGGGAGTTTCGGAGGTGGGACAACAGATGCCATGTTGGACAGCCGCGCGCACAGCTGCTGTCTGTCTTGGCTGCTCGTTGGTCGTTCTCCTATGTCCTTCCGATGAAAACAAAAACTCATTTTCCTCTCTTTTGTGGAAATGCTGTTTTATCACAGTCGGAGGGAATTGATACTGATCACATCCGTAGTTGGAGTGAATCATGGTTGGAGCGAATAATATTGCGTCGTCATTGGAATTGTGATGTCTGGTAATTGGAGTGAATCGTATCGTCTTGGAGCGTTTCGCATTGTAATTGCGGCAAATGGTACGGGATTGTCATTGGAGTGAATCACATCACATCGGCATTGAAGTGAATCGTATCGTATCTGAATTGCGTCAGACTGTGAGTGGAGTGAATCGTATCGTAAAGTCATATGAGTGAGATCTGTCGTTTCGCTTTGTACCGCCGTGTGTGTCGGAGTGAATTGCATTGCATCGTCATTGGAGTGATTGTAGTAAATCATATTAGAATGAAAGTGAATCATTCGGCAGTTGTATTGCATCGCATCTTCATGGGGATTGCTTCTTTTTGCATCATAATTTGATTTTATCATACTGTGTAATTGCAGTCAATCGTGTTAGAATCATATCGTAACAGGGTGAAACGTGATTCACAGCGGACCCATGTTGTGTGGATGCTGAAGAAACAATTCTGAACATCTGGGGCACCGGTTTTGCACATTCCAAAAATTCCCACTTTTCCCACAATTCCACATTTTCTCCTTGAAAGAAGCGTTCGAGTGAATGATACATTCAGGAACCGAGTTCCTCACCTTTTACATTTTCAACTCTTCAGCTTATTCAGAACATCTTGTGAACTATTTTCACATTCCAATCATTCCCACATTCCCTGAATTCCACAAGAAATATTCACCCCCAAAAGGAGATGTTTTAACAGTACCTGTTTACCTCCTCCTCCCTCTATTCTCAACAGAGTCAAAACATTCCGACTTCAACATGTTCAGCTTATTCAGAACATTTTTGAAAGTAGTTGTTACAAATCCCTTCATTTTCACAATCAAATCCACAAATTGAGATGTTTTACAACACCCATTCACTTCCTCCTGCATATCACAACTGATTTTAGCCATTCCAACTTCAAACTGTTCAGCTAATTTCGGACATTCTGGAAACCTTTCATCACATTCCCAAAATTCTCTCATTTTCTAAATAAAATGTTACAAAAAAAGATCTTACATATTTTCTAGAGATGTTATTTATGGTTTGATTACCACCTGAATAGTGTCTATATAATCAAAGAGCTTCTGTCCTAACAGGACACAGAAAAGTCAATTTGACTATTGTGACAGGAGGTTTTACAGGTCTGGGAAAAAAAAAAAACAGAAAAAAGATTGACAGTCACAACAAGCCCAGAATGCTGCTGCTCAAATACGGTACTTGCTGGTACTAGGAAACTGGACCACATCACACCGGTCCTAAAAACTCGACACTGCTTTCCTGTGAGTCAAAGAATAGATTTTCAAATCTTACTGTTGTCCTTCAAAGCTCCAAATGGTCTTGGACCCAAATCCATTCATGACCTTTTAGTTCCCGATGAGTGTTCCAGACCCCTCACCCCTCAGGTCGTTGGGTGCAGGCTTACTGAGTGTTTCCAGAACCAGAACCCAACAAAGCGAAGCGGCATTGCATATTGATTTTGCTCAAGCGTGGAGCAAACTCCGCAAAACGTTTTAGATGGGCTCAAAGTGGTGTTGCATTTAAATCCGGCCCTAAAAACTTTATTGTTCACTGCTGCCTTTTTGGACAACTCAAAGTCATTGTTTCTTCACAACCCTGCTTTAATTTTGTGATTTCAACTTGATAATGTGTCATTTTTTTGGGTTACTTGACTGTTTATTCGTCATCCTTTCATTTAATTTTCTTTTTTAATCACTGTTCTTTGCCTCTGTAAGGCACTGTGCAAATGAACGGCATGATACAAATAAACTTGCCTTGCGTAGTCGAACTGAGTGACGCAAACTAGTCCTGAGCAGATGTGCCGACAATGGTGAAGCGTGTCTGGATCAGCGATGGGAATCAGTGCGGGTGGGGGGGGGCAGAGAAAAAAAAAGGAAGGAAGCAGTTTGGCACGTGTGTGGCGTACGATGATTTAGCAGCTGGGCTGCAACACGCGACATGTGCTTTTAATCGTCGCGACATGAACGGTAAAACTCTTCATCCTGTCAGACCGACACTGTCCAGTAAGAGCCGCACCGCGTACTGTGCAACCAGGAAATATTCACAGCACTTCATTTCCCCGCCCCCTGCATTTTGTTTTTTTAACAGCCTTACTTTAAAATGAATGAAATTATATATTTTTTTCCTTCAAATTCTGGACGCAACATCCCGAAAGAAAAAAAAACAATCTGCTAATTTGCATTGATCCCAGTTGTGGCAAACTGCCCCAAGATGTCCAAAAAGACTTGAGGCTGTCATTTCTGCTAAATGTTTTTCAGCAACGTTTTGAGCAAATGTTGAAAATACATGACATTTCTTTTTTTAACTCCTGTACACATTTCAGCGAAGTGTTTTTCATGATGTCATCATGGAATGGTGTGTATAGAATTTTGAGGAAGATGTTTTTTTTTTTCGATTCAGCAATAACATTGTAACTTGAAATGTGAAAAAGAGAAACCCTGTGAATACTGTCCGCCGTGTCCGGTGCCCCATAGAATTGTTGCTTTGGTCTACAAGTAGCCCTTTATAGTTTTTCCAGCTGACCTTGTCCCAAGTGAGCCTGCAGCTGTTCACTGCACAAAAACCAACATGTGGGATCAGGTTGCAGATGAAGATTAGAGCTCCATACCTCCAAAATCTACATTTTTCTCTTTCTGTCTTTTGTTCCACTGCCCCTTCAGACACTCATCTGCTGGTTGTTTATTCTTTCAGTTGATCTGTATCATGTACCCTTCACAGTACACCTCCATCCCTGTCCCACTGTCCATGTTTGTAATGCTTCCTTACTCCCCATCTTCGTCGAGGCAGCATCCATTCCATGGTCCTACTGCCCACCGTACCTCCAAACCAATACCTTCCAATTTTTTTTTTCACTTTCTCAATATTACATCCGTCCCCTTATACCTACCTCTGTTGCTGGACCTGAAATCCCTCTGTCTTTCACCTCTCCATCATGCTGTTTTTTTTTTTTTTTTTTAATGTATGAGTGTATGTGATTGCCTAATGTGGAGAAACCAGCACCAATAACCTGACCTCACTTTGTCACACACTCACCTTCTAACAATCCGAGTGGTCCATCTGGACCACTCTTGACTTTGTGTGTGTGTGTGTGTGTGTGTGTGTGCGTGTGTGTGTGTGTGTGTGTGTGTGTGTGTGTGTGTGTATTTACCATGCCTAGCAGGATTCTTGTGCTCAGGTTTCATACGGTGCTGCCTTGCTAATGGCAAAAAAATGCAGCCGGCGAATGCGTTTGTTTAACTGCTGGAGGCCTCACATGTGTGCGCACAAACACACGCACACAAACACACACACATTCACACAAATACTGTACACTCTTTTTAATTTTATGTCTGTGTGAACAGTCTCTATATCTCAGTGTGAACATATTGATTGTTATTACCTCTGCTCAGCAGAGATGACTGCAAGAGGTCTTTTTATAGTGAATTAGACATGGTTAGTTGCAGTCGTTATACCGTATAGTTAAAGGGACACTTGGATGGGCTGAACATTGGCACTTATGTAATACTGTAGGTCTGTATGTAATAATGATGTCAGCACTAATATTCACCTCCCGGAAAAAAAATAAAATAAAAATCTGCAGTGATTTAAGGACTTCTTTGTGATGACTAAAGCCAGAGATTGGAACAACCCCT